GTCATAAATTATCAACGGCCAGGCGACCACAAGCGATGATGACAAGGCTACCCCCGCCACGCCCATGCTAAAGATACACTTGGGAAAAAAAAAAGTGGGAGTTAGAAGTAACTAAAGTTGAAAATGAAGAGTTTGATTTTGTGATTTTCTGATTTTCTTAACTTAAACTAAAAACCTTAACAACTTGCTGGCACTTTTCTTGCCGTGCACTTTTGCCCGCCTTTGAGCAACGCACTTAATCAACCATTAGAAATCTTCATTAGAACTGGCGTGTCCCCAAAAATGAAAGAAAAAGAAAAAAAAGGAAAAGAGAAAAAAGAAAACAAGAAAAACTAAAAAGTAAAGTAAAGGCATTTTGACTTTGTTTGCTTTGCACTTAAATAATTTAATTGCTTATAAAACAAACAACTTGCTGGCGAACGAATATTTCATTTTATCTTTTGCCGCCTTTAAGCCAGCCCTCCCCCCCTACTCCCTTCCATTGCCATTGATTGATGGCCTGATTGACAGTTCAACACTCGTAGCTGTCAAATTTGAGCAACGCAGCCCAGCCCCCCGCCACCTGCAATCATTAGTTTCGGGTAACACCCCCAGATCCTGCCTGAATATCAAAGACTTTGCCTCTACAAAAACACTTTTGAATATCAGAAAAGATATATATATAAAGTATATATATATTTTTGATATTTTCATTGTATTTTATGATGGCCAGCGCTGAGCTTTAACATTTGCGCTAATTATTTTGCCACAATTAATTAAGGCGCAAAATAAAAATAACATTAAACAAGAGGCAGCAAAAAACGAAGCAAAATAAATAAATATATATGTATATATATATAGAGAAAGAATGAGATATATATATGTTCTTGATATATAGCTTCTTTCGGCCTGGTCTATATGTTTTCGCACAGCTATATGCACCGATCTCTGCTGATCTTTTAACTCAATTAAAAGCGCGTACGAGCGCCAAAATTTTCAAAGGCACTTCGCTCTGTCCCTCTATCTATCTATCTGTATATATATATATCTTTATATTTATATATAAGCCATATATATATATATATAATATAAAGAAGAGTGTGTGTGTGGGGACTACAAAAAATAGCCGACAATTCGACGCCGCGCTGGTTCTGCGTCATGTGAGTCAGCAGCCTCCTCAACGTCGACGTCGACTGCAACGCATTTGGCAACAGGCGAAAATCTTTTGGTCCATTTTCCTTTTGGCCACCAAAGATACAAGCACTAACATGATGACACATGTGCCGCCAACCACACCCCCTCCCGCCCTCCTTTTTGTGTTCGTTCTTTTTGTTAGGCATTTTGGTCCTGTTTTTCTTTCGAGTGTAATTAGCACATTGCAGAATCACCCAAGAAGACGTTGTACAGGCCATTAGTTTGTTGTCTTTATGCTGAGGCATAGTTAACCTTACAAGGTGGTCGTAAGCATAGGAAAGTCTTTTGTTTTTTAATGTTTTTAAATATTTTTTAGAGATTTTTTAGAGATTTTTTTTAGGGATTTTTTAAAGCCAAAAGTAGGTGGAGAGCTTTTGGCAATGGAATAAAATATGTTTAAAATGTTTTTAGAGTTTCAAAGACAAAGAAGTTTCATAATTTCTTTAATGAACCCAAACTTTAAGTTATTTATTATGTTTTAAATAAGTTTAGAATTTTTCTAAGATTTTTAAAAGATTTTTTAAAGATTTTTAAAAGATTTTTTAAACAGTTTTTCGACATAAAATATCTGCCTGAGGGATTTTCTTTACTTTTTTTTAGCTTTTGTTTGCTTAAATTTGAAAATTTCTTAACAAGCCACAAACTTTTAGTCATTTTTTAGGTTCTGAAACAGTTTACGGTTTTTTAAACATTTTTCAATATTTTAAAAAATAATTTTTTCATTATTTTTTCGACACATTTCGTCGCCTGGCAACCAAAAACTGCTGGCAGTGAGTATGTCTTTTAGTATTTTTAACATTTGTTTGCTAATGATTCGTATGCGGCAAATGTTTGCCCAGACACTTTCGAGTTTTTGACTCTGCTGCCCCACCTTCCGCCCCTTGTTTATGCATCATAATTTGTTGCACATTTCTCTCTTAGCGAGTGCAATGCACTGGGAAAAAAGGAGCAAGCAAAGGCGGCATATGGATGGGGAAGCGGCAAAAGAGAGCACAATTTATTTCTAGACATTTTCGTCTTAAATTAAACTTAAAAATAAAGTCAGTGGAATGCTGTCTTTCTTGTTGTTGTTGTTGTTGCTGTTTACACCCACGCTAAATATTTGTAAATTGGAAATGTTTTTGGGATTTTGGCTTGTCAATCAAATGATTGGAAATGATCGGGAATTAAGTCGGCCAAAACGGAAAATTGAATTCATTTCAGCTAAGTGCATGGGTAAATAGCGAAATTTTGCCTTCTTCTTTTTTTTTCTGTTTTGCTAAATTATTATTGTTTTCGCGGTCATACATCAAATGTCTAGACAAATTGTGGCAACAACAACAACAACAACAATAATGGCAAAAACAACAGCTGAGGCTGAAAAACAGGAAGTGGAGTGTCAGGAGAAAGCAAGATAGCCCAAAAAATGGGCAACTTTTTACCATGATGGGTGTATATTTTTTTATGATTTTCTTTGCTTTGATTTCACGTTTTTATTTGCTTAATTTATTAGCTTTTCATTTAAGTTATCATTTTGGCTGATTAAGAATATTAATAGAAATTCAAATTGAATTTAATTTTGTATTTTATTAGCTGGAAATGTGTGACAGGGCGAGATCAAGACTTGCAATATGATTAATGGACTGGGATTATCTCTACCTCTCTCTCTGTACTTATATATATATCCCCTCCGATCTGAGGATCTTCTTCTACTGTATATATAGTATTTAGTATATAGAAATCTATTGCGCGGGGATTATTTTTATTGTTTCGCTGCTGATTTTGTTTTTATTTTTGTTGTTATTTAAATTGTTTCGCACGCAAATAAAACTGGCGCCAATGACAAGAGGCAGCAGCAGCAGCAACAGCAACTACAACAACAAAATATTAAGAAACAACAGCAACAACAACAATGGCAAAAATTGATAAACGTCGCGCGTCGTTAGCGCCACTTATCACGTATACGCCATGGCGCCGCATAGCGTCCGTCAGCAGATTCGGTGGTTTGGTTTCGCCTTTCTCTCTCCCTCTCTATCTCTCTATCTGTCCCTCTGTCTTGATGAGGCTCTCAGTGGTTCAGTGGGTGGTTCAATTGCAAATCCAAAACAGCAACAACAACAACAACAACAACAACAGGAGTCCCCATTTAGCTACCGCTATCACGTGTATTTAACTAATTAGTTTATTGTTCCTCCCCCTCTCCCTCCCTGTTTGCTCTCCATCAGTTTTTACTATCCAAAGCCATTTGGCAAGCAAATGCTAAAAAAAGAAATGAAAAAAGCAGCAGGAGTGATTATCAGGGCTGGTAATATGGAATCTGGTGATATGGAATCGTGAATGGTGGGTGCGATAACCGCGGGGGAGCAAGAACAACAACTCGAAACACCATAACAACAGGTGTCAACCGCCGGCAAGTCAATGCACTAAGAAAAAGTGTTAGAAATTATTATAAAAACTAAATCAATTTTAATGTTAATCTTTAAGATATTTAAAAATCTTTAAGGTTTTAACACAGCTTCAGTAATAGTTTCTTCTAAAAAACTTTAAAAAATTTCAGTTTTCTAGCGTTTTCAGCGCGTTTCCTGCGCGTTTTCCCTGCGACTCTGACGCGTTTTTTGCCGCTAACATTTGATTTTAAATTTAATTAATTTTTCCTCAGTCCCAAAACTAAAACTCATTGCCAAGCCAAACTACAAAAGTTTCCTATTTTGGGCTTTAAGCTGCGGCATTTTTGTGTTTTTTTTTGTTTTTTTTTTGATTTCGTTTACATTTTTTATGAGTGGCGCCAAAAGTTTTAGCATAATTTTGCCACGGCACCGCGGCGAGAGCTTGTGTGTGTTTGGTATTTAAAATATATTAATAATATATAACGCGTCGCGTTTTCAATTTGCATACATTTTGTGCAAAGTTTCTGCCGCTCGCGCGCAGCCAATAAACAAAAAAAAAAAAAAACGAGAAACGTAATCCCAAAAATGTTGCTAATGAAATTGAGACTATCAAAGTGGCTGCTAGAGCCCCACCTTCTCGTTAGTTTTGTTTTTTTTTTTCTTCTTCTTTCGATCTAATCCCACAATTTGACACTTGTTGGCGCCCCAGAGAGACGCCGCTTCATCTTCAATCCATTTAGCTACACTTTAAGAAATAAGAAAAAGGTTTCTGGATTTTTCAAGAATTTTTAGCAGCTTAAAAACTTGACTTTTCCCTGAAGAAAACTTCTTGGGAATCATTTTAAAATACTTTCCTTGTTTCATAAACTTTTCTTCCTGTGCAGTTGGCTTGCATTTGTAATTGAAAACGCTGCCGGAAGCGACTCAACGCCTCTCAGCGAATGTGGCGCCTGTTTGATTTTTTTTTTTCGTTCGTTCGTTCGTTCGTTCGTTTCGCCGCTTTTGGCTGAAAACGTTCTGCAATTCTGATTGCCTCGCCAGAGTCGGCTCCTCTCGCTCTCAAACTCTCTGCCCACCCGAAATGGTATTGAATGGTAACCCAAGTTTGTGGAAAACCTGAACTATAGGCTTTCCTAGATCGAAGTTAATTAGCCGCTGATCGATTGGCAATCCTCCTTTTGTGGGGTTTCTCATCGTCTTCCCTCAGCCTCAGCAGTGGGCGTCTGTCATTTGAATTTTTCATTATTTTTATTAAGATTAACCAACCTTGCTCTGCCAGCTGATATACGAGATCGTATATATATACAGATCAAGCTATATATATATATAGATTTTTATATAGGCAATTGCAGTGGCGCCAGCAGCAACCTGAAAAACAAAATCTTAAATGGCAATTGAGGAAACAGCAACAATGAGAGAGAGATTTATTAATGGTTTTTGATTTTTCTTTTAATTTTCCAGTCACCGAATGTCAGTTTGGCAAAGTTCTGCGGGAATTGGGCTCGACCTGGTACGCGGATTTGGGTCCACCCTTTGGCGTTATGTACTGCATCAAGTGTGAATGCGTGGCGGTAAGTTTTTAAATTTTAAATAAATTTTTTAGTTCTAAGAAAAGGTTAAGGATAATCTCAGTAAAGAGGGGAAGGTAAAGAGGCTTTGGTTTAGCAAGAAAAGTAAAAATTTTCTAAGGGAAAAATCACAAAAACTTTAAAAACAAAGTAAAATCCCCGCAAAAACACTTTCAAAATTCACCTAAAAAATCTCAAAAATTCCTTTTGACGGGCGGCCTGGGCGTATTGACTAATGACCGTCGACATGCGCTACAAGCTGAGGAAAATCGCCAGCAGCGTATGAAAATGATTGTGTTTTTGGGTTTTTTTTTGGGTTTGCTTTCCCTCCTCCTTAATTTATGGCATTTCCACGCATGATTAATATCGATTTGAAAGCTCTTTATGCGATATCTTACGAATCAGAGCCAAATTTTGCCATAGACAGCTCTCAGCCTTGCCAAAATTTCAGAATTTTTCGTAGATTTTCAATCGAATTACGTTGCCAAAAGGGGTTAAAGGGGGTGGGAGAGGGGTAAGAGGGGGTTGAAAACGAGGGCAATTTTTCCAATAAAAATGTCCGACTCGTGTCCTCGCCTCGGTTAAAAAACATCTCTACAGATAGATATATAGAAGATATATAGCCAAAGTCGGGAGACAAAAATGAATTGACGTTGCTAGTCTGCGATGGACCAGACGGGCCAGGCAGGGCCTATATTCTATATAGTATAGATATATGCGATTTCTCCAGTAACAAAATTTAGCCTCCTTTTTTTTTTGTGTGTGTGTTAATTTTTAATGTGCATTGCATAAAAGTCAGCTTTGAAATTAATTAATTATAATTTATGTCGGCTGCAAGCGTCGCAAATGAGCACATCATAAAATTATTTAAAACATGTTGCTGCCGCTGTTGCCGCTGTTGAACTTTAAGCACAGCGGCAACATCATCATCAGCGGCGTCGGCGCTGGCGACCAATAAAAATTAATAATAAAAAAAAAAAGGCCAACAGGCAGCCAAACAACATCAAAAAGACAAACAGCAGCAGCCAAAGATGATAAAAAAAAAGAAGAAGGCATATAAATATAATTATAAAAAAGAAGAACATGCTGATTTGCTATATAATATGGCTAGACTATATATATATAAAGGCCAATATTGGGTGGAGATGGCAGCTTGATTTAGACCAGATTCGGTTGCTAACAAGGCATAAATCAAAGTGGCCAGGACGGGCAGGTGACAGGCCTGGGAATCTGCATTACTAATTCCAATTCATTTTTTATTTCCACGCTCTATGATTATCTTTCTTTTTTGTATTATTTTTTAAGATATTTTTTAATATATTTTTTGTTCTTTTTTTTTAGATACCCAAGAAGCGTCGCATCGTTGCACGCGTCCAGTGTCGGAATATTAAGAACGAGTGCCCGCCGGCCAAATGCGATGATCCCATCTCGCTGCCCGGAAAATGCTGCAAGACCTGTCCAGGCGATCGAAACGGTAAGTCTAAAAGAATTTCTTGAACCTATTTTTGATATCAGCAAATGCTTCAGTTTGTTCAGTTAACTATATAGAAGATATAGAAAGTTATTAAGTGGAAATACTAGGAAATCAGAAATCAAAAATCTGAAATCAGAAAATTTTATAAATTTCAGTCATAATTCCTGCTTAAATCTTATGAAAATGTTTAAATATTTTGACACTGACAATGGTCTGTTTGATGGCATAAATCGGCTTTTTGTGGATTAGTCTAGATCGCCCCAATATCGGTGTCTATATAGCTAAAAGTTCCTCCTCGTCCATGAATAATTAAGCATAGCAGGCAAGGCAGCTGCTGATGGGTAGCCGCTAACAGCCGCCTTCCCACCTCCCTCTTCTTGATTTTAAAAGATATATATTCTTAAAGATATAGATATAGATATAGATATAGATGTAGATATAGAAAGAGAAAGAGAGAGAGAGGTAGAAACGCGTAAATTGTTTATGAAAAATTACTTGGCCCGAAATGAAGGTCAGCGCTACGCAATTTATATTCCGTTTTTATGTCTCAGTCAGCGTCTGTCGCCGGCGATGATTCGGATTCGGATTCGGATTCGGATTCCGATTCGGCTACAGATTTGAGATTCCTATTCCCTGGTCCACTACTTCGGATAATGGCCAATGTGGCCTTTGGTGGGACTCTCTTTTTGTGACTTTTTCTTTGCTTGTTTTTTGTGCTATTTTATATCGCCCGAACGGCGCCTGAAGTTTGTTTCTGTGGGCCATATCATTATCGTATCGGAACAACAAGAGAGTATTTCAAGTATTTATTTGAGCACTTTGTTGGCTTTCGGCGGGTTGAAGGGGCGGTTAAAGGGGGGGCTGTTTGGGGTCCCAATGGGGGCGCACGTGCCGCATTCGAATCGCCTTAATAGACCAATTACCCCCCGTCCCCGAGCTTAAGTTCGCAACTTGGCAATTTCTTTCACTTTTTCGGTCAGCTATCCGATCAAGATATATATATACTATATAATCTATATATTTAGTTGATATTTTAAGTTATTTTCTGGAAGAATTGAATGGAAAATTAGTTTTGGGATTTAAGCTTAGAGAAAATCTGTGACGAACTCTCTTTGGTGGCTCTTTCTCTGTGACATTTTTCACATAATCAGGCGGAGTGCTGTCTGAAATTCCAGTTGCTGCTGGCAAGTTGCTGCTGCCACTGCTGCTGCATGTTGCTAGTTGCCAGTTGGTTAGTTGGTGTGTGGCATGGGGCAAACTGGTTAACGATTGCCACCGAACGGGAATGGGATTAAGGGGGTGGGGGGGGGTTTATGGTGGTGGTTGAGGGGTTAAGGCGGTCGGCTCCATCACATCATTAGTTTCCGTTTTGCGGCAATTTTTCACTTTGCTTATGCAAAGAGTTGTTGACCTGCGGACCTTCCAACCCGAAAACAATTTCACTTTTTCTCCAACTGATGGTTGATTTTGTTGTTGTTGTTTTTGTTGTTTTTGTTGTTTTTGTTGTTTTCTGCAATACATCCAAAATGAAACTCCCAACGCAACTCGTTTGCCATAAATAGTTAGAAGGCACACGGGCGCGGCTTTTCCAGCGAGACTCTTTGGCTCTCACGCAGTCACCGGCTGACTAGTCAGCCATCTAGCCACTAGCTAGCTAGCTAGCCATCTAGCTAACCATCTAGCCTGGGCTATTGTACAAATATTTCGCAGCAACAACAGCAACAACAGCAACAATGGACAACAACAACAGCAGTTTCATCTACAGCAGCCGCAGCTCACAGCTCGCAGCTTGCAACGATCGTTTCCAAAGTTATTTTTTGCCTAACTTGGTTTTTTGCCCCATACTCCGCATATTATGCTTGCACAGAGAGAAAAGAAGTAGAAAGAAATATAAAGAAATGTTAGAAAATATATAAAAAGACAGTGAAAAGTCAGGAAAAACCATAAGAAAATACTTACAACTTGAAGGAAGTAAAGTTCTACCTTAGATACTTTCCTTTTCTTGCTCTTCTTTAATAGAGGCCACTTTCTGACTTCTAACTGCAGTAACTCAGTGTTTCCTTTTAGCCAAGCTCTACTGTACTGTACACTGCTCGTCCTGGGCAAGTTGTCAGGCCCGCAAGAGCCGATGCCTGGAGCTTGAAGCTCATGACATGGCCATATAATCAACATCAACAATTGCCTACCTTCGTTAAATGTCCATTTTGGGATCGAATCTTTTGGCTCTCTCTCTGCCCTCCCCTCTCCTCTCTTCTCCCGTCTTCGAATACCAGCAAGCCCCCCTCCTGTTTACCCTTTTCCCCACTAACCAAGCGTTCCAAGCGGCATTAATTTATGCCTGGTATTTCTTTCTTTCTTGTTTTTTTGTTCATTTTTATAATGACATAACTCGGGCATTTTAACGCTTATTAAATTATCTCATTTGCCGCCACAAACGGCGGGCGGTCCAACCAAAGATGGTGTATGTGTAGGGCAAACGGGATATATACCCAGGTAGACAATAAAAGTTAATGTTTCTCGATTCCAACGACTTGCATCTCTTCACGATCGATCCCATTAGGCGTTCGACTTGCCCGAGTTGACAATTCAACTTGATGACATCTTTTGTGGTCTTGGTCAAGTTCCCCAACCCAACCCAATCCAGCCCAGCCCAACCCATACTATCCCTTCTTTGGGGTAGATCTTAAAGATCTCAAAAGATCTAAAAAGATCGCTGATCGTTGATCGGAATCCACAGATCGCTCTCTCAGAAGTGGCAGCAACTTTGTTGTGCCACAAAAGGATCGCCGGTCCAAATTCATTTTTATGGCCGGGCGTGAGGTGAGGTGCGCCATCCCAACAATAAAATCCTCAACTTTATCTTTATCTATATCTTTATCGGTTCTGCATCGGCAGTGGCGGCAGCGGCGGCAATGTCGGCGAACGGAACTGTCTATTATATTCCCACTCGCTGGCCTCTCTTCTCGCCCTTCCTCCTCTAAATGGAGGAGATTGTGGATAGCGATAAGGCTGAGAAATAGAGCTAACAAGGCGTCGGGTTTTGGGCTTGGGTTTGTGCTTGGGTTTAGGTTTGGGTTTGGGTTTGGGTATCGAAAAAAAGAAAAACAGAAAAGACTATCTGAATGGAATGATCTTAACCGGAGATTATAATGGGTTTGTTTTGTAGATGGAAAGGGAAAGGGAAAGGGGTAACGAAGCTAGTTAAAGATCGCTATAAAGATCGAGATCTTCTTCAATCTATAACTTATTTGATATAGTTTACCAATCTAGAACTTGCCACACAGCAACTCTAACAACTTCTAACACTTCTTTTATGATTATTCATGTTGATCTTCTGATCTTCTGATCTTCTGATCTTCCGATCTCTCCCCTTACCACACCACACCACACCTGGTAATGTGACATGAAATCCGAGATAGATTTATCAAATCATTCTCACGTGCTCTCGGGCATTTCTTTGGAAAACAGTCAGCCAGCCATCCAGCCAGCCAGCCAAACACTTTCAAACGTTTCTATTTTTGTTACCCCTTCTTACCCAAAACCTGAGTTTTAGTTTTTGTTAATGAGCTGCCGCCGTGATTCTGGGGGCCGAGGCCCCAGCACATACCAAAGCGTTGAGTCAATGCCGAGGTGTCGTTTGTCTTTCGGTCTCGGCTTTGTCGGCTCGTCCGTTTGTCCATCTGTCTGTTGGTCCGCCGACCGCCTGTCCGCTCAAGGGGGAACCCTCCCTACTCCCTCTCCTCTCATCCTCTTAAGCAACGTGTCGTCGTCTTTGTGCGCACCAAAACTCATTTATCTTGGCTTACAGCAAGCAGAGGAGGAGTAGAGGAAAAAAAGACCTAAAAAAAAGAAACGAAAATTTCATTCATCTGCAAGCGCGATTCAAGGGCAGAGATGCCTGTGACTCCGTCTCGGACACCAACTCCGACTCCGACTCTGACTCCGACTCCGACTCCTCGGAAGACACCACCAATAAGCCCCAAGAATGTAGAGCCACAAATTGAAAAAAGAAGAAAGAAAAAGAAGGCAAGTCGAGGTGGAGTAGAGGGCAGTGTAAAGCCAAGTCTAAAGCCAAAACTGGCTGGCTAGCTGGCTAGCTGGCTGGCTGGCTGGCGAAGTGGCTCGTATTAAGATCAGGCGATAAGATCGGACAGCAGAAGCCGCAGCGAAAAGAGACCCCAGCAGTGGTGGTGGTGGTGATGGTGGACCCTGGTGCGGGGCTCTCAATAAAATGCTATACAAGGTGTCAGATTTGTCGCCCTTCATTATGCGATGCCGGCCCGAAGTTCTTTTTCTTCTTTTTTACCCTCCTTTTTTTTTTGTATACACTTTTTGCGGCTTAAAGGTTGGGGATTTGAGAAGCGGCGGCAGTGGCAGCCGAAGGAGCAGCATAAAATAATCGAAATGCCAATGCGGCATCATCGACAGCAGCAACAGCAGCAGCGATCTCTCAGTCCTCCTTGGTCCTCCATCTCTGGCTTTAATCAGCTTTTGTCGGGCTGCCACTTCTAACGAACCAAGGAGCTGGGGATTCTGGATTCTGGATACTGAATTCCAGATTCGATGATGGTGATTTATGCGCTGGTTACCCGGGTGTCAATCAGCGGGACAGCGGAAATGTGTCCACCCACTTTCACGCCAAAAAAAGGAAGAAAGAAAGAAAGAAAGAAAGAAAAAGAAAATGAAAGAAACCAATGGGAAAACCATAGAGAAGAGAGGGAGAGGGGCAAATGAGCGTGTCATGTGGATTCCGGGAACTGAAAACTACTCCCATTCGGAGATGAACAGAGACAAAGGGCACTTCCCTAGTTAGATGTAGGTTAGACTTCCCGTTTACAGGCTACCTGCCTGGCTCAATTTATGCACGATTAATGAATGCCACCTGGTGGGTGGAGGAAGGGAAGTAGAAGACCGACCTTAGTTCAGTGTCCTACCTGGTATTCCTGCCATTCATGATGATCATGATCCCCTGGCCTCATCCGTTCGCCCTTCCATTGACAGTTCAAGTCAAGTCCATTCAACATGGAATTTGGATGAATGCCCAGATGGGATGTGCCGGTGAATGGCGGTCACTTTGAAGCATTTGTTGCAATCTATAACCAAATTCCATTTAAGGTTACGACCTTATCGCACAGCATCACTAATTCTCTCCATTTTATGTTCTCTCTCGATATCTTTCAGATACGGATGTGGCCTTGGATGTGCCAGTGCCCAATGAAGAGGAAGAGCGCAACATGAAACGTAAGTACAAAAGCCCCGAGCCAACCGCCCAGTGGTAGATCCTTTTCCTTTCTACAGTAAAGGTCTAGATAACCATTAAACATTTTCGAAAACAAATCTAACACCTGGTTTCTTGTTCTTCCTTCCTTCCATTCATATTTCCCCATAGATTACGCTGCGCTGCTGACGGGCCGCACTTCCTACTTCCTCAAGGGTGAGGAAATGAAGTCCATGTACACCACCTACAATCCCCAGAATGTGGTGGCCACCGCACGTTTCCTGTTCCACAAGAAGAACCTTTACTACTCGTTCTACACCTCGTCGCGTATCGGTCGTCCACGTGCCATACAGTTTGTGGACGATGCTGGGGTTATCCTGGAGGAGCATCAACTGGAGACCACATTGGCGGGCACCTTGAGTGTATATCAGAATGCCACGGGCAAGATCTGCGGTGTATGGCGTCGTGTGCCCAGGGATTACAAGCGTATCCTTCGTGACGATCGCCTGCATGTGGTCCTCCTTTGGGGCAACAAACAGCAATCCGAATTGGCTTTGGCCGGCAAGGTGGCAAAATATACGGCACTGCAGACGGAACTTTTTAGCTCTCTGTTGGAGGCACCTCAGATGCAGTCCGATGGCAAGACGGATCCACAGTTGGCCGGTGCCGGTGGCACAGCCATTGTGTCCACCAGCAGTGGTGCCGCCTCCTCCATGCATATCACTTTGGTCTTCAACGGAGTTTTTGGTGCCGAGGAGTTCGCCGATGCTGCGCTGAATGTGAAAATTGAATTGCCGGAACGCAAGGAGGTGATTTTTGATGAGATGCCACGAGTGCGTAAACCCTCTGCCGAGATCAATGTCCTGGAGCTGTCCTCGCCCATTTCGATACAGAATCTGCGTCTGATGTCCCGTGGCAAACTTCTGCTGACAGTGGAGTCCAAGAAGTATCCGCATTTGAAGATCCAGGGACACATCGTGACCCGTGCCAGCTGCGAGATCTTCCAAACTCTGCTGGCGCCGCACAGTGCCGAATCCTCGACCAAGAGCAGTGGCCTGGCCTGGGTCTACCTGAACACCGACGGCTCCCTGGCCTACAATATCGAAACAGAGCATGTGAATACGAGGGACAGGCCGAACATTAGCCTGATTGAGGAGCAGGGCAAACGGAAGGCCAAGCTGGAGGATCTGACACCGAGCTTTAACTTCAATCAGGCCATTGGTAGTGTGGAGAAACTGGGTCCCAAGGTCCTCGAATCGTTGTATGCCGGCGAACTGGGCGTGAATGTGGCCACCGAACATGAGACTAGCCTGATTCGGGGACGTCTGGTACCGCGACCAGTGGCCGATGCCCGGGATTCGGCTGAACCCATTCTGCTGAAGCGACAGGAGCACTCGGAAGCCCAGAATCCTCATGCCGTTGGCATGGCCTGGATGTCCATCGACAACGAATGTAATCTCCACTACGAAGTGACCCTGAATGGTGTGCCTGCCCAGGATTTGCAACTGTATCTGGAGGAGAAGCCCATCGAAGCGATTGGTGCACCGGTAACGAGGAAACTTCTCGAGGAGTTCAATGGCTCGTATCTGGAGGGTTTCTTCCTGAGCATGCCATCGGCTGAGCTGATCAAGTTGGAGATGAGTGTCTGCTATCTGGAGGTTCATGCCAAGCACTCCAAGCAGCTACTGCTGCGTGGCAAACTGAAGAGCACCAAGGTTCCGGGTCACTGTTTCCCCGTCTACACGGACAACAATGTCCCAGTGCCCGGCGATCACAATGACAATCATATGGTTAACGGTGAGACCAAGTGCTTCCATTCCGGACGCTTCTACAACGAATCGGAACAGTGGCGTAGTGCCCAGGATTCGTGTCAGATGTGTGCCTGCCTTCGTGGCCAATCCAGCTGCGAGGTGATCAAGTGTCCAGCCTTGAAATGCAAATCTGGATCGGAACAACTCCTCCAGCGTGATGGTGAATGCTGCCCGAGCTGTGTACCCAAAAAGGAGGCAGCCGAGTGGTTAACATCACAATCTTCGCAAGCCATCAATGCCACCGATTTGCTGCAACAACGACGAGGCTGCCGTCTGGGTGAACAATTCCATGCCGCCGGTGCCAGTTGGCATCCATTCCTGCCGCCCAATGGCTTCGATACATGCACCACCTGCAGCTGTGATCCCCTGACCCTTGAGATTCGTTGCCCACGTCTGGTCTGCCCGCCGCTGCAGTGCAGCGAAAAGTTAGCCTATCGACCGGACAAGAAGGCCTGCTGCAAGATCTGCCCGGAGGGTAAACAGAGCAGTGCTGGTGGACACAAGGTGACGCCGAATAATCCGAATGTGTTGCAAGATCAGGCCATGCAACGATCCCCAAGCCATAGTGCCGAGGAGGTGCTGGCCAATGGTGGCTGCAAGGTGGTCAACAAGGTCTACGAGAATGGCCAGGAATGGCATCCCATCCTGATGTCCCACGGCGAACAGAAGTGCATCAAATGCCGTTGCAAGGTAAATTTCGAAAAGTTCAAATTTAAAAAGAATTTTTGCTTAAAAAATTGAAGATTTTCCTTTTTAATTGTTTTTTTTAAATTTTACTAATAAAATATTTTTTACTTTTTTATTTTTCTTTCAAAAAAGGACTCGAAAGTTAACTGCGACCGCAAACGGTGCTCCCGCTCGACGTGCCAGCAGCAGACCCGCGTGACCAGCAAGCGGCGTCTCTTCGAGAAACCGGACGCCGCTGCTCCGGCCATCGATGAGTGCTGCTCCACCCAGTGCCGGCGTTCGAGGCGCCACCACAAGCGGCAACCGCATCATCAGCAACAGCGATCCTCCAGTTGAGCGATTCCAGGCTAAGGGATTGCCGTAGGATTCCAGCTTAAGATGGAAAGGGAAACCACTTACTCACTCAGTGCGATGTGCACCACCAACCATACATCTTAACACACACACACACACACACATCATTCACCCATACAAACAAGCATACACACACACACACACTTGTGCAAGGAGTTGCATAGATCGTTGTTGTTTTGTGGCAGCAATGAAAACTTGTATTATATATGTATATGAAGAAAAGGAAGAAAAACAAAAGGGAAAACTTGAGATTTAGCTCAAGAAAGCAGAAGGAGTTAGAGAAAAGTAGAGAGAGCGGGAGAGAGAGAGAGAGAGAGGGTTAGAGAGAGAGAAGGATAGATAGTTAGATCCTTGGAAAAGGGCCTTAAAAAACCAGTGCAGTTTGCTTTAAATTCTCCAGCGCAGAATTTTCTATAGAAAGCATTTTCTGAATTTCTTTTTACCTTTCCTGAAACCTAACCAACCCCCCCACTCAAAAAAAAAACATTAAAATTAAATTTTAATTTATTAAAAACAAAAAACAAAAACAAAAACCCCCCAAAAAAGCACTCAAAAAAAAAACAAAAAGAAGAACCAAAAAAAACAAAACAAAAAGAATTCGAAATTGAAAACTGTACTGAGTTTTGAAAACCAACACACACCCACACACACACACACACGCACACACTTTTGACTTATTGAAATACTTAAAAAAAGGAAAAAAAAAAAGTTGAAAAACTTTTCATTTTCATTTAAATTGAAATTTAAATTGAGATTTGAAAGTGAAACGATAACGATAACGATGGAGAAGGAGAAGGAGAAGGAGAGGGAGAGAGAGATGGCAATGGCAGCTGCTATCGTTTGAATATTAACTTAAACCTAATTATTCAGATTATACATATATATATATACAATATTTATATATATATATATATACCGATATATCTATATAATTTATAATGAGAAACAAAACACAGTGGGAAACGCATTTGGCGTTGGCATTATGTGGTTATCGACATTTTTTATCGATAGTTCTATTTTAGCAACCCAAAAGTTTCAACTGATTGACTGAATGGCAAAAATAAAATTAGCTTTAAAAAACAAAAAACAAAAAAAATAATGAGAAAAAAAAAGGAAGGAATGAAGGAAACTGAAAAGGCAGCTTTTCAATCTGAAATTATTTTGTACTAATTGTTACTCACACATACATACACACACATCTTCACATTTTTTTAAGGCCTTTAAATCTTTGAATTCAGAAAAAAAAAAATACATTTTATGCAAAATTTTCAATAATTATGTACAAAATTTGTTACGACATAAAAAAGGGAAAACTTTTTCGAAAAAAAAAATGCCATCTACACATATTTATACACACACACACACACACACACTGACAAACACACACACATACAGACATAAAAAGAAACAAAAATGAAGAAAGAAGAGAAATTTTACCGCATACACAGACAGAAATTGTATTAATTTTTTATTCTATTAAATTATTCTTATTATTATGATTATTATTTTATGTTTATTATTATTATTATTATTATTATAATGACTTTTTTTTTAGCTATATATACATATATATATATATATTCTATATTTAATTACTGATTGATTGATTCGAAATAATCGATCGATGGCGAGCAGAAATTATTTAAAGCAAAGGAAGAGCTAAAAACAAACTTGTACTAATAACTTAAATTTAGTTTTTATCAATTAAACAAACAATTTTAAATCAAAAACAACAACAACAACAACAACAAAACACACACACACAGAGAATAAACAAAAAACCTACAAAATCATAAATCTTTTATATGTTTCTTTTTTTTATTATTAATTAATTTCTTACCTGAACGAGAGAGTTGATGAATTTATTTGATTTTTGTTAGCTGCGCAGAAGCCATGACAAAAAGCGAGCTAAAAAGCTGGAAAGAAATGCAAATCCAGAAGGGTAAATCGAAATATAGAGGGAATATATTCGATATATGTATAGGGTGGCCCAGGGAAGATTTGCGTTTTAAAATCGCTGGAGAAATAGCAATATTTGCCAAACTTCCAGCGTAAACTTAAACATTTTGTTAATCTCAAAACTTCTACTAAATCCCCTTCGAAATGTCAAAGTCAAAATTATCGAAAGTTTAAAAAGCAAACGCTATATGGACCACCCTGTATATAGGCTTATACTATATCTTTCTCTAAGCATATATCTCGTAAATATTCATCAAACTCAGCTTGTTTTACGCAACAGAGAGAGTTCGTTCGTTCTTTTTAACTTAAAAACTTATTTCTTTTTAGGCAAAAGTTCATTTTTGAAATGACTTCAGCACTCAATCAGATATCCAACTCAGCTAACTATAATATATAAATAGAGATTATAGAGCAATTATTTAGAGATTTTTATAACCGACAAATGGCTTTTCATGGCCATGGCCATGCCATATGATGATGGTCAAATGCCTTTTTTCGGGCGATCTTTTCATTTCCGCACAAACTTTTCGTTTGAGATTGCCACATTAAGTATCTTGAAGATTCTTTTGGGTTGTAACACAAATTTAGAACTAATTTGTGGTTTATTTTTGAGGCATTTAAGAATATTAAAAGCAATTTGTAGGTCTATAAAAGGTAACTTTAAATTTAGGTCTCCTAAGGCTAGTAACTCTCTGTTTTGTTCTATGAAGTTTATGGTTTTTATATTCTGTTTATTCAGGATTAAAGATAGCTATATCCCAGCTTGATATTTACCCAAATTCGATCCTCTTTCGTTTTCCCAAAACATCCATAGAATCAAAAATCAGTTAAGAGGGCTGCTGATATCGCCAAGTGGCTGCGCCACTGCAGTTGATGTCGTTGCCGTTGCCGTTGCCATTGCCGTTGCCGTTGAATGAAATCGAATAATTAAATATTGGCATAGTCACACCTTGTTGACAATTATTGACAGGCTGATTGGCAAACAAATGAATATACTTTAGCCATTGCCGTTTTTGAATTGTCGAGGGGCGCGGCCCAGTGGCACGACAAACGGCCCTGTGACTCTCTGGGTTTTACTGCACTTGAAGAACATTTTTCATATTTTTATAGTTTAAGATAGAAAAAAGGCTAATTTTATCATAGGTTTTGATTTGAAAAGAAACTTTTCTTGAGCTCCAACTTGAATCCTCTTTTTAAAGAGCTTTTTTTGATTTTTTATGAATATTTTTTACTTAAAAAAATATCAAATATTTCTCTTTAAAAATCTCTTTCGAGCAGTGTAAAAAGGCAAAAAGTTCCTTTGCTATGTTAATATCAAATCTTGATTCTGGCGGAATATGTAAATTTTTCTCACAGTGCAAGTACATGTGTCTATGTGTGTCTTTGTGTGTGTGTGTGGGTGGTAGGTGATAGGTGGTGTCTGTGGGTGTGGCAGCTACCGAAAGCCGCCACCGCCACCGCCGCCGCCACTGCTGAAAAAGATCCGAATCTGCAGCATCCGTCATGGAACGCAGAAAACTGCAAGCGTTGGCGTTGTCGTTGTCGTCGTCGTCGTTGCTGGCATTCCATGGATCGTGTTGACATTATCTTTTTGGATATCGATCGGTGGCCCATCTGGGAGCTGGCATTTGCATTTTAGGCGCTATCAATTAATTGAGTTGGCCGGGCCAAACCCTTGGGGATTGCCACCCCCCACCCAGACACAGGCCATAATCATACCATAACCCCCCGGCCAGATGATATCTGCACTTGGGTATTTATGTGTCACACCAAAACACGACATTTAACTGGGAGTCAGTACTCGATACTAGGTATCGTACTCGTACTCGTATTCATACTCATAATCATCAATTATCCGACGCTGTCTGATTTTCATTCGCAGTCGAGCGGTTAATTGCCGCAAATATGCAAAGCATGTGTAAAACTTTATTGATATACAATCTGAATAAGCGTTTGCCTAACTTTGTTTTGATTGCAGCTGTCACTGCACGGCACTCACTGAAATCAATTCACCTTTCAATTCCAACGACTCAGCTCGACGACTTGCCAATGCCCTACCTAAGTTGGTAGTTTAGAAGCTTAAAAATATCAGGAAATGGTTACAGTTAGAGATAGGTGGCTAAGTAATGCAGTTAACAGTTGATCATGGCTAAGAAAAGTAGTAGATTCGAGATTCTGTAGGTCTTAATATGATATATGATAGAGCTTTAAGGATTTACTATCTTTAATGGAGATGTTTAACAGATTTTTTAAAGTTTTTTCCACAATTTTAAGCTTGTTTGTCCTACAAATATTGATTTCCAAAAGAAAACTTCTCTGATTTCCTTATGTATCCTATATAGATCTCCCTTACTATCCAAACCACAATCGTAAAGTTAAGTTTAAGCCCATAAACGAGTATATATCCCCAGTGTACCAACTCGACTTACCGCCTGTCCACGAAACACAGATTATCAGATCGAAGTCTCTCCAACATCGAGACAAGATCACGCAAGGCTGTCAGCTCTTTTTCCCAGCTCTTTTCGATTGAAAAAAAAAAAAAACAAAAGAAAATCTAGTATAAAATCAAGACCGAACCAGATGACATAGATATAGCAGATATATGCAGTTGACTGATATAGGAAACGTTAGAGAAATCGCCTCTAAGACAGGCGATGACTTCATCTATCAGCACGGCTGCAACTGCTACGCTGCTACGCTGATCCGATCCATAGATCAGGCAATGTGCAAGATCATTAAAACGGAATTAACTCAAATGGAAATGGCAACAAATCGAACGACATTATAATCGGTATATCAAATAGATCGAATTTATGGAGTTTCATGTTGAGAAATTTGAAGCTGTTAGCAGGTTTTAGTTACTTTTCGGTTATCAGTAGTGATAGTTGGGTTATCAAATTAAGTTAAGCCTTACCAAATCTGTCTTTTTTCCACCTCCAAAAGCTTAAACCACCCACGTTTGCCTCCAGCTCCCACCATCAGTGGTCTGGCATCAGCATCTCTGCCTCCCCGCCCCCCTTGAATCAGGGATCTTGTATCGCATGGATCGCCTTGGCTGATTGCTAACTGATTGCATACAAATATGCCCCGAAGAGGTCAAATCAAGTTGACACTCGTGTAGCCGGCTAATTGCCGCAACAAGCTCTGTAACCCAGTTCCGAATGGGTTATTTGGGTTATGGCTGGGTAGGGCAGAAGGATTGTTTGAGACAGCAACTAGAATTTCAAAATTAAGAATTTCATCACTAAGCAGAACCTTATTTATACGTTTATAAATGTTACTCCACAATCCGATGATTTACTAGCTTAGACTAACTTTTAAGGAAAGGCAACACCAACTTGCTTTTCCATAAGGACAAAATCTGATCTCAGAATTGTTAATTGTTGAATGAACAACAGGTTATGGTCATAATATAGAAAAGCAACAACAATATTTGTGGAACAGATTCGATTAGCATGCCAGAGATTTCTGCGTAAAATTAACACAAAACCCGAAAATTCTCCAAATGCCACGCTCCAATTGGAATCATCCGTTGAATGTTTGAAATGCTGCTGCTGGCTGGCTGGTTGCCTTTTATTTTTGTGGCCACGCGATCTGACATAATAATAAAAACAAGAAAAACGACAGACAAAATTTCATTTTTATGAATTAAAAACCAATTTGGACGGCGGACCTGGACCTGGACCTGGACATGTCCATAAAAAAGGGGCCAAAACAAATCATGGCGTCGACAAATTTGGAACTAATTATAAATGCAGGCGGCCTGGCCAAAAGTGGAACGCTCCGTTCCAGTTTCAGTTTTCAGTTTTCAGATTTCAGTGCTTAGTGTTTGGTACCAACTCTGAAAATTCAACACTGAAAGAAAATTAATTTAAGTTTAAGATAAATTAAGATTATTTGCCTACTTAAAAGGGTTTGCAAAATGACTTTCTCTCAAAGTTCTTAAACTCAGAACTTCTTTCCTTAGTTTAATTTTTATAAAACTCATAATTTGCCTTACAAAATCATTAGAAAATCATATTAATTTTTGTAATATTTTTTTTTAAGTGCACTAAAAAAAATAAACCCCAAAGACGGTGGGCGGACAGTTAAAAGCGGAATGAAATGAACCGAACTGAACCGAACCGGCATGGAGTGGTCATGAATGAAAGCTACAGATTGGATGGATGCCCAGATGGATGCGGGAATGGTATGGCTATGGAGTGGGTGTATCAGCTACGGGGGCGTTGGCGTTTTTGCCGGCAAAGTGTGAAACTAATTTGTCAGCATGACAATAACAGCCAAAAGCCATAAACATCATAATAATATTCAATAAACATCAGCAAAATGCGCCAATTAACCGCCACCGATTTGGCCATGAAACAAGCGGAATTCAAACTAATACCAGTATCATATTCAATGGGAATGAAACAAAAAAAACAATACAAAACAAATTGAAATTGAAATTGAAATTGAATTTGAAATTGAAATTGCAACGAGTGACGAATGGAAATTGTGTATTTCACTTTAATTGAATTATAAACGCTGCTGGCTAATAAAATCGATGATGTA